CCTTTCTTCTGAGAGTCGAGCATTCCATCCAAATAGCATGGCGGTGAGCTGGGCCTGCTGTCCGCCTGCAGGCGCCCCGGGACCTCCCTGGAAGGGCCCGCGCCTCACTCAGCCTCAGAGCCCGGCAGTTAAGAGCACGGACTCAGTGGCCACACCGCCTGGGCTCACGTCACCGCCTGGCCAAGTAGTGGAAAACTTAACTGATGGGAGAACAAGAAAAAGGAATCCCTGAGTGGAATCGTGAAACCCTAGCGCTGTCCCAGACTTTCCAGAAATGACTGTTTCCAGGAGTGCGGAGCGGGCCCGGCCTCCCAGGGCCAGTTGTGGGCAGTGCCCACGTGCTTCCACGTCCCTGCTGACCCAGTCCGCAGTCGGCTTCGTTGACGCGAATGCCATCCGAGGCCTCAAAGGTCATCCCGGCCTGTACCTGGGATCTCTGATCAGGGCAAGAGCAAAGCAGAAGGCGAGCACTTTGTGGCATACAATCTTCAAGAAAGCCACCACCGTCCTTCCTGCACATACTGCCACTAGCCTAACCTCCCCCTTCACCACCCTCCTCCTGTCTCCCACCCCTACCCCCAGTGCCCTCCAGATGTGGCACACTGAGGCCGCAGATGTGCATCTCGGGGACTGTGTTCTAGGCCAGGGGCTTCCGGGTGAGCTTCAGCGGGTCCAGGAGAAACTATGCAAGCGCGTGCATTTCTCAGGGGAGGAAGGAGGTCCTTAACACCCACCGGTGTTTCAGAGACTGAGAACCAAGGCCCAACAGGGGCCCTGTTGACCTACAACAAGGGTTACTGAGGCACATGGGGCTGAGACCTTTACCACGGATAGAAGAGTGTTTCTGGGGGGGAAGTCTACATTCAGAAGATTCCAATTATAACATCTTAGCACTTAACATGCCAGATCAAGATGTTCAACTTGCTGGTAAGAAAGATAAGGAACTCTTTAAGAACAAGGATAGGGTTGTATCCTCAGGGCGGAACCATCTGGCACATGGAAGGTGTTCCAAAAATATTTGCAAAATGATTACCTGTCACCACAAACCAACTTCTGAAATACTACGAGCTGAAACTACCTGCATTTGTTGTGGGTTTTTTTTAAATGTTTATTTATTTATTTTGAGAGACACAGAGAAAGAGAGAGAAAATGCTCGTACGAGCAGGGGAGGGGCAGAGAGAAAGGGAGAGAGAATCCCAAGCAGGCTCCATGCTGTCAGCACAGAGCCCCACTCAGGGCTCAATCCCATGAACCGTGAGATCATGACCTGAGCTGAAATCAAGAGGCGGATGCTCAACAGATTGAGCCCCCCCAGGAGCCCCTTTGTTATGTTTTTTTTTTTTTTTTTTTTTAAGTTCCCCGAGCTGGCTTTGAGAAGCAGAAATCAACTACATCTAATGTGCTCCGTACTCTATGTCCCAAGCTCATACTGGTAACAAACACGCCCTGGACTCGAGGTTCCAGGCTTGTGTGGAGCCCTCCACACGCTCACACACACACACAAATACACAACATATGCATGCATGCATGCATACACACACACACACACACACACACACACACACACAGCAACCCCTGTGAGCTGGGCCCTATCATCACACTTTTGACAGGTGACAACGCTGAGACTCTGGGAGGTGAAGTAATTCACCAGTGCCACGAGGCAGTAAGCCACCGGAGGTGATACACACGGAAAGTGACAGAATATAGAAATATCCCCCCAGTCTTTTACGTTCACCTAATCAATTATTAATCCAATAGGGAAGGGATGTTTCATTCCAAAATTAAAATTAAAAACCATTTTTCTTTGAAAGGGGCTTTTTTTGTTTGTTTGTTTTGAATCAGAACAATGTCTACCACTTTTTTTTGGAGTAATTGCAACCATCTTCAAATTGACCACAATTTGGGGGTTAAAAAGATGTAAGCAGTAATATCAACTGACCGTGAAGGGATTAATCTAATGACACAAAATGGAAACTTAAAAGAAAAAATGCACCATACACGAAAAACCTTCAGGGCTCTGGCCACCGCGGCACCTTTCACTCTGTGCTCCCGGGGCTCATCCCGTGTGGAAGGACCTGCCCGCTGGCTCTGAGGCCTCCTGCACAGACCCCCTTTCCCTCTGGACTTGAGCTTCCCCAGCTACCCGTGGGCAGGGCCAGGTTGGAAAATAGAAACTCCCTGTTGGGAGACCAGCACACTCGCCTCTGACTTTTCTCTGGTGCCCTCATCCTGCATAATAGATTCACTAAACATTCGATGGATGCTAGGAGCGCATTATCTTCTTCCCCAGAACACAGAGGGGGGACTCCCGCGTGCTCATCAGCAATCAGCACACCAGGTACAAACCAGTCACAGCGCTGGCCACCCGCCCTGGAACGAGGGCCTCGTCCTCACTCGGCCAACTTTCTGAGGTGTGGAGATCCTGGTCTGTGTCCCCCTAAGGAAGATGCCTCTCCTGCCAATGAGCCAATTTTTTTTTTTTTTTTTAACCCCTGAGAACAAGCTCTAAGCAACCTTCACTTTTATGTCCAATCTCTCAAAGAGTTTCCTCGACGGTAAGTGTGAATTGATTCCCTCCGTTGCTGAACGATCCGTCCAGTAGTGTAGTCACAAGAGGGGACCGATGTTGGAAAACCGTGGGGGCCCCTCTGCACTGTGACCCCAAACAGACAATTCAATATCCCCTGTGGACCCCAGGCCCCGCACTCACTAGAGTCCCGACACGTGCCACCAGACCCCCACACGCGTGTACCCTCCCCCTCCACGAACCCCGGAGGACTTGGCTATAGCTACGCCCCCACCCCCGTTCTGGCCTCACGTGGCTTCACTATTTACACGGGATTCTGGCCGGCTGGTGGCATCAGTGAACCTATCTCCCCTATCAGTTCTCGCCTCAGGGTTCCCAAAGGGACCCCACACAGATGTCGTGGACGGTCCTGGGATAGAAAGAGCCGAGAGAAGGGGGCGGGAGCCGCAGGGGGCGTCACCCTTCCCGGCTTCCTGGAAATTCCTGTTGCAGTGAGACTCTCCTCACTGCAGCAAGAGTAGCCTGAGTGAGCACTTAGCCTGGACCAGCTGGCAGAGGCCAGGAGCAAGCAGCACAGAAACCTTCTGTCCCCTTCCGGGTGTTTCTGGGCCCCTCTTCTCCACGGAAGACAGGGTCTAAAACTGTGCTTTGGAAAGAAATGCTCCAAATGGCATTTATGAACCACACTGCTTCTCCCCCAAGCCTCTTCCAGTGACTGAGATTAGGAGATAAAATGCTGCGTGTTTCGGAGGGGGAGGGCTCTTCAAGCTGTGTGAGCTGGTCTCCCATTTCCATGTCAGGGGAGGGGCCATACCCTCAGTGGCCGGAGGGGAACGCACCCCCTCGGCGGGCCCCCGCCCCCACAGCTGACAGGAGCCTGGGACTCGGAACATCCAGGAATCCGGGTCTCTGCTGCTCTTCATAGTCCCGACCATGGGACAGATTATGTTTACTGAATTGTCTGCCGCCTCGGAAGGATGACCTTGACCTTCTGTTTTAGATTTTCCAAGGAAAATGGTCACCAAGGGAAGGGCAGTAAGAACACGGGGCAGAGGATGACAGCTCACTATGGGAACGGTACGAAGGGTGGCTCGAGGGACAGATGTGAAGGGCGCCGGCCAGGGGAAAACAGGAGTCAAGGACAAGGATGAGAGCTCGGGAAACCCCACAGTGAGACCCTCCAGGAAGGCCTGCTCTGAAGTGGCCTTAGAGAAGGAAAGTAATTAGAGGAAGGCAGTCCTAGATCCTGTCTTTACTCAACACAGAGCAGAGCGGATCCCCGATGCCACATGGAAGGCGGTAACCAGGCCCGAATCTCTACAATGTGCACCTGTGCTTGGATAGGACGGGAAGATCCCCGTTTAAGGGAGGGGGTGAGGGCAAGCAGTGGATCTAAAATTTAAAGCCCTTAGGTGGGTCTGCCCCTAAAGCCCCCTTTCTTCCCGCTGGGCTATCGTGTTTTCTCCCCAAATATTTATTCTGAAAACAGAGGGTTAAATGATTTGTTTCCCAAAATGACTCACAATAGCACACCCCCTCAAGCAGCAAGCTAGGCGGTACACTTGACACGGGTCTGCCCTTGAAAGTTCCAATCACGCATCATTTTTCAGGAATATTATGAAAGTCTGGGGCATGCCTCCCAGAAAGCAGCTTTCCTTCCAGACCTGATCCTTTGTCCTGCACGGAAGAACGTGGGCAGTCCGCTCTCGTCTGACGGGAGGGTGCAGGAGACTGGGGCGAGAGCCCGCGGCCCGAGAACTGTCGTGGGCCAGCCTGGCAGAAGCTCCCCGAAAGCAATTCCCACGTCTGTCCAATGGTCTCTAAAACCCTCCTTGCTTTTCGTTTCTTACAAACCCTTGGACAGGGACCGGGGGGGCCAGGGGCCTCGAAAACAGACTGGGAAAATGCTGCCCGAGGCCCTCTGAACACGGCCTTTCAAACGTGTACTTACAAGAAAAAAAGAGGAGCCCACGAGGAGCACATTTCCAGTGCCCTTTAAAGCGTATTTCAGGAAACAGAGGCGTTTAACAGGCCCTACCGGACTAAATGTCTGTTCGACAAGAAGGATCGGCACATCGCGTCCTCAGAAGTGTGCAGCCTCAGACAGGGCAGCAGGGAAGGGGCCCTCTGAGGACCCCCCGCATCCCCTCCCGCTACGCTCTCGTGCTCAGGGCTCCTGCAAGGACTCGGGGTCACGTGCTAACAGGCGTGGGCACGGAGCGTGGGGGCTGGAGCCCCGAATGGGCCACGCAGCCGGCCACGTGCTCTCGCACACCCAAGTGGGTCAGCAGGCGCATCTGGAATTAGCTCGTGCTCTCCTGCGTTCAGACAACCGACCGACGCCCGAGGGCCCCCAGCCCGCCGCGAGGCACGCAGTCTGCTGGGGGCGAAATGCTTACAAACACAGCTTCTGAATATGTCCGAGGGCAGGGAGACCCCTCTCAAAGACACCTGGATGGTCCTGCGGCCTCACCTCTGGAGTGTTCTTCTTGAACTCTCGGCTCTGCTCGATAAGCCGCTTTCTGGACTGCTCGCTTTCATCTTGCCGGTTCGCCAGTACTGTTGCGGTGGCATCGAGTTCCCTCTGTCGAGAGAGACACAAAGGAAGACAAGGTTGTCACTGCTGCTTCGTACCAGAGGGGATCGTATCTGCATTCGACCAGAACCCGGGAGAGCCCCCCCCCCAACCAGGGCTCTGGGGGTTACCAACTCCCGGGCAGAGGAGGGGCTGGGGCCGCAGAGGGGAGTGGACACACTCGGACAGTTGCCATCGCCCCGTGCGCACGTCCCGGAACACCACGCTCCCCCGGCTCGATGTGCCGTGGGTCCACACGCACCTCACAAATGACTGCTTCGGGGACAGAACACGCAGACACGTTTTTCTTTGCTAAAGCCAGCGTCAGCCCAATGCCCTGATGCCGTCTAACATACTTTATTTTTATTTGGAGAGAGAGAAAGAGAGCGAGAGCTGGGGAGGGGCTAGGAGTGCGAATCCCAAGCAAGTTCCACACTGTCAGCACAGGGCCAGATGCGGGACTCGCACCCATGAACTGCGAGATCACGACCTGAACCGAAATCAAGAGATGGACGCGTAACCCACTGAGCCACCCAGGCGCTCCTGGTTTCTGTTCTTAGCAAGCTTTCCCTCTTGCCCAGTCTCTGTGCCCTGATGACTCTGCTTTACTCTGGGCTTCTCGCTGGGGCGTGCTATTCGTCTGTCTTCAACAGTGTGGGCCTGGGGGCTTGTGTGCTGATAACTGGGTCTGCTTTCATTTAACAGTACATATTGTGGGTTTCAGAGAGGTGAGGTATCATGCCCATAACCTGTGACTAGTTTTCAGGAGGGACCTTTACGGGGCAAATTCCAAGAATAATGATTTGCAGGATGCAGTCAACTTTGGGAATGGGGCACCTGGTAACAACAGCTATTCTCAAGCTACTGTCCTTGCATTGAAACTCTGAGAGCCACCAGGGCCGGGTGCCCTGTAAGAAGAGGACCTCGGCTCACACAACAAAATAACGCTCAGAGCATCAGAGAACCTGTGCCCTGGCCTCGGAAATTCTGGGAGGAGCTGCCAACGGGATCCGTTTCAAACAAGCCTGCAGCAGATGGGCCCAGAGCGGTGTCCCAAGCCGACAGCAGGGGCACAAGGACACGCTGCCGTAGCCACCAAAAGGCCCATTTTCTTGCCCAGCGGCCTCAGTTACTAAAGACACACACTGGCATCTTCTGATTAGGATTCGATGTGGCTGTTGCGCATGGCTTCTCCGTGGTATGCCCCATCCCCTGGGGCCCGGCAGGGCAAGGACCCAATTGAGGACTGAAGAGCGAGGCAAATCAGACACAGAGATCCTTCCACAGACATCCGGGAAGCACGTGAGTCTCCCCCTCTCCCCCTCCCCCACCCCCACCCCCTATGAGGTTTCACCTGCTTCCCTTTTTGGCGGAAGTAACCGGAGGAGTTTGGTGGGGCCTCCTGATGGGCACTTCACTTGTACAGTATGGGGCGGGTCACTGCCAGAGAGGACGACAGGGCACTGGAGCCACATCCAGCGTGGTGTCGACTTGGAAATCATAAGACGGTTTTTACTGAGGGGGTGGGGGGTGGGGGGTGGGGAGGGGGAGACACTCCCCACCGCACTCTCTCTCCCCTGTCGTGTTTCTGGCATTACAGCAAATCTTGAGCAAACAAGTCCAAAAGAATAACATGGGCTAGAATTCAAGAACAGATGTCAAAGCTACTGCAGAAAAGAGGGAAACACTGCACATTTTGATAGACCACATTTGAAACACATCCCAGTCGAGTGAAGGCAGGGAAAAAAGAGCAACCGAAACGAATGTGGTGATGCGGGGATGGAGACGGAGAAGAGAGAGCAATCGCAGATAAGCAGAAGGCTTTTCAAAAATATAAACAATCTGGTAAGGAGGAGGACTTAGACGGCTATATTTAAGCAGCAGGAGCAGAAGTTATAAAAGGAGGCTTCAAGAAGTGGGGAGAAACGCCAATATTGAAACATGACAGAAAAAGTAGAGTTGATGTTTTGTTCTAATCGCCCGCAGATGCAGAAAACTTGGGCACTGACTGCTTCCAAAGAAGACCTAAATTCCAGGGCGGGGGGGGGGGGGGGGGGCCGTCCACCCAATCAGCCATAACCCCAGCAGGGAGGGGGGCACAGAGGGGACTGTGGTCCCAGCCCTGACCCCCACCTTCCCACCTAGAGGGACGAGCGTGGGGACAGTGGGGCAATGCTGCGGAAGACGTGACAGAGCACACGGTCCCCTCGGGTCCCTGCATGCCCCACACGCTGAAGTCCGACCCAGCCCACAAGATCCATGGGCACATCCATCAGAAAACCCCACCAGGGAGGGCTGAGTCTGAGACAGGACCCTTGATACAAGGCAGCGAACCCACCTTTGTCACGGGGCCACAGGGCCAGTGAGCCTGGGGTGACGTACTGCTGGCAGTCGGGGACCCCCCGGGGGGCCGCCACACTCCCTTCCCCACGCGTGCAGACATACGCAGGTCCACATGAGAAACGAACGCGAGTCTCCAGATTTAATACCGTGCCTCGGCCCGCCAGCACAGAAACCGACCAGCACCGCCAAGGAGGACAGGCTGGGCTTGCCCGGCCCCGGGGTCTGGTTGGTCAGACTTAGGGCTCGCGATCTTTGGCCAGGTCCCTTACAAAACCACTACGAGGCCTTCTGAAGGACACGGAGGCTTTGTACGGTTGTTGGGACGACGCAGAGAAGAGATGGCTATTAAACATAAGCCAAATACTGTTTTATTATCTACCCGGCCCGCCTATGCTCAAAGTGTCAAATACAATGACACATTAACAAGGGAATTTAATGTGTTTACGGGAGGTGGCGGTGGGGGCCTAAAATACAGAACCCTCAGTCCCGGAGTCACTGGTCACGTGTAAAAAAGAGCATGGAGGGTCCCCACACCTGAAAGGCACTCAAAACTCGCCAAGAGAAAACAAAAACCAAAAACCCACACCTGGGAATCAACCAGTGTCCAATGAGAGCGTGTTGGCATACCCACTCAAGGATCATTCTGCAATGGTAAGAAAAAGTCCCACATGTGCTAGGAGATGGGCTGATCTTTGAGATATATTTAAGCAAAAAGAGCAAAGTGCAAGAACAATGCCAGTATTGTTTAAAAGAGTATCTATACATATGCTTGCATAAGCTTTGATTGTCTCCAGAATGATACAAAAGACACTTGTAACTGCTTGGCTCTGAGAAGGCGCTGGGGGGG